CCCCCCCTGCAAGGAAATAGCTAAAGGTGAACAAAGGGATCAGGTGACCTCCTGGCCCAGGAAAGAGACAAAGCCCAGAGGAGGAGGGGCTGGAGGGGTTTCAGAGTTGGAGCTACCTGGGGACTAGGAGTGAGGGCAGACGTGGGTGTCTGGCTCTCTGAACCCCAGAATGGACCCAGCTGAGGGGTCCCGTTCGCCGCTGTACCTACGAGCTCTGTTTTAGACCATGTTCCTGTCGTCTAATAAACCTCTGTGTTACTGGCTGGCTGAGAGTCACGTCTGGCTGCGAAGTGGGGGTGCAGGACCCTCTGGCTGCCCCAGGACCCCGCCGGGGCGGACTCGCTGTGGGAAGCGCACGGAGGGGCAGATGCTGAATGCTCCCAGGAGAGCCCCAGGAGGTGAAGCCGTGTGAGCTTCTTGCCCTGAAGACGGTCTGCTCCGAGGGAGAGGAGGCTCCCCAGAGTCCTGCCTGGCTTTGTGGGGAGCAGTCCCAGAGCATCGCCCGGGGACTCCGGGACAGTCCCGTCCCATCGGTGAGCAGCGCCACCGCCGGGGCAGTGTGAGCGCCAGCCTGGGGCACGCCCCAACGCAACTGCGACATGAGGGGCCGCGTCTGAGCCACACAAGTCCCACGTTCCCCCGGAGCGTCCGGCAGCCCCTGGCTATGCTGATGGGACGTCCCAGAGCCTGGGTGCTGCGAAGCCCTGAAGCAGTTCTCCTGGATCCAGCTGGGAACCACCCCTACGATCCGTCCCGAGCCGGCGAGACCCACAAGCGCCTCCCCCGTATGCCAGGGCTGGGTAGACCCGCGCGTCCCCTCCCGGGCCAGCCTCCCTGCGGCCCGGGCAGCGGGCGACGCTGTGGGGTCGGGCCCCGTGAGGAGGCAGGGGGTGCTGCACCCCCATTGCTGGCTTGCCCAGGACCGGGACCTGTCCCCCGGAGCTGGCCCTTGTGGGTCACAGTTCGGGGCAGATGGTGCTGGGAGGGCGGGAGGCACGGCCAGGGCAGGCTCCTCTCCATGGCTCGCCCTAGGTGGGGCGTCTGCGGGCACCTTCCCGGGGCCAACCACTCAATGCCCCTTTGGGAGCAGCCTGGCGCTGGCTTCTTGGCGTCGGGACCGGGCGGGGGCTCGGGCCGGCTCGGGCTGCCGCTCCCACGAGGGGGAATTTGAGTCTGTCCCTCTCCTAGGTTCTGGGTTTAAAGTTCTTACAGAGCCGGCGCTGGACCGTGGCCCTGTCCCAGGCGTGTGGGACCCTGGTCTGCACTGCCGGAAATCCCGCAGCCCTGGACGCGATCCAGCTCCGTATTCCAGCCCAGACTGTGCCAGAACTGCCGAGGGGGGTCGCTTGCGTCGCGAGAAGGGACCGAGGGGCAGCAGGGCCCTTTTACCGCGCCAGGGAGGTGCCGCTCCGGGGGGCACCAGAGCCGACCCGTTGGATACCGCTGGGGACGACGCCCAGCGCCGGCGCCCACAGACCCGCCTGGGAAGGGACATGAGCTCCCAGCTCGGAGACCAGCCTCTGCCCCCCACCTCCGTCCTCCGGAGAGACCAGCCTGACCCCAACAACCCCCCCGTCCCAGCCCCATTTGGGGGAACACCCTCGGCCCCCCATACATCCCCGCACACAGCCCTGACCTGTCCCTCCCCCCGAGACACCCCAGAAGAGACCCCTCCCCACGAGCCCCCCACCAGCCCCCACGAGTCGCTGATGCAGGCCCCCCCCCCAGGGATGGAGCCCCCCAGCCCCCGCCCAGCCCCCGCCCTACCCAGGGGCAGGCCGATGCCGTAGCCTTTGGTGTCCAGCAGCCCCCCGATCTGGGTGAGGTTGCAGTTACGACGCCGGTGGTACTCGTTCATGGTGGACTCCAGCAGGAAGGCGTATCTGGAATTCAGCACCCGGGCGATTCCCTCCTCCGTGCTCTTCACGAAGACGCTGGGCTGCTTGGAGTGCATGTAATTCCACATCCGCTGGTAGGTCTGGTACCGCGAGTTCTGCGGGAGGGGAGAGCCGGGCCTGGCACATCCGCGGGAGCCCAGGGCGGGGCCAGCAGGGGCTGCGGGTTGGGAGTGAGGGGCGCTGGGGGGGGCAGGGGCTGTGGGTCGGCAGTGAGGGGCGCCGGGGGGGGGGCTGCGGGTTGGGAGTGAGGGGCGCCGGGGGGGGGGCTGTGGGTCGGCAGTGAGGGGCGCCGTGGGGGCAGGCGGCTGGGGGTCGACAGTGAGGGGT